TGTCTCTTGGAGAACTTGGAGAGGGGAATTAGCAGGAGATAACTGATAACTGACATCCATTAAACATGACACGTGAAACTAGAACAGTCTACCCCAGTGAGCGAAATAAAGAGTTCAGTTCGATATTCCAACCACCTGAAGAAGGCCGGAGCGTACCACGGCCGAAACGTTGTGATAAATATGGCAACAAAGATGAGGCCAATCGTCCGAATAATGAAAATAGTGTTCAAATCAAGGGTTAATTATTTATCCTGCTTCTCTTCATTATATTGACTTCCTGAATAGAATAAACCTCCCATTTCTTTTATATCAAACACTACATTCAGTAATTCACTATCTCGAGTGGCTCTTAAGCTATGTGTTCGATGAACTTCAGTAAAAGCAAAAATCGAATGCCCCTGTGTGCCACAGAAAGCTTCGGATCAGTTTTTTTAATTTTTTAACACCATTTCCTGGTAAAAAAAAAAGTAACACAAACGTTTCGGTCGTCAAACAAAAAATGAAAAATAAATAAATTAAAACTGAAAACTGAATTGAAATTGGTAAAAATCACGTTTTTATGACAACATGATTAAATTACACGCCCAACGTTCAGACCCTTATCTTAAAGTTTTGTCTCGCTAATATTTTTTTCGTGTGAAATCAAAATCTTTACTTGGTGACGCCTGAATATCGACCAATTAGCAAACGACTCGACGGAATGATCACTGTGACGCCCATTTATTGGCGACAGAGAGTTCGAGAGTCCGACAAAGGAGCAGAAAAGATGACGAGATTATTTTTCTCCAGTGAACGGATAAGCGACAAAGGAAACTACTTTGAGAACGGCATAATGACATTTCAGTGCTTTACTTAACATCAGGAAGAAACAGTCAAAGTTTCTAGGGCATATAACGAGGAAAGGGGGCTTTGAAAATCTAATACTCATGGGACAGATTGAAGGCAAGAGAAAAACATCGAGTAACCTACACATCGAGTAACCTACACATCGAGTAACCTACCTTCGAGTGAATTTGAGTAAATGGATGGCGGAATAAGGTTTAGAAGAGATTAGAAAAAAAGATAAAATTCATTAAGAGCTACGAATGGGAAGGAAACTGTTGTGAGCCGTGATCACCCACGTCCTGAGGGACACGGCCTATAAAGAAGAAAATAAAGTCCTTCGGTAAATGCTCTGTTTCTAGTAAACAGTATTAATTGCATTTACCGGCTTGAATTAAAAACAATAGACAAGGTACTACGGTTAAGCTTTTTATTTAATTTTTCTTGTGTTCGAACAAGAGCTTTCTTTTCTGGACAAAGAGTGTAAAAATTGTCCAAATATTTTATAGTTCCGAGCGCTTTCGGCTGTACCTTTAGCCATTATCAAGGATGATTCGATTTTTCAGCGTAATTGAGTGTGTGCATTCTGTGTATGTCATAATGTGTAGTAAGGATGTTTTAATTTCCGAATACGGTTAGCACATTGTGACCTTGTTCGTAGTTAATATTGTTAAGAGTAGGTTTTTTTCTTTTTTATTATTAAAGCTTCCATTATTTTAAATCGTTTTTTACAGGTGGATGCAGTTAATATATTTGTGTTTTCTACTAGTATGTTTCTAATGAAGTCGGGTAAATTTGTGTGTGTGTGTTTAAATGGGTTCTAATGGAGCTGTGATCAGATAAGTGTAACGTAAGACGTATGGATAAGCATGTAGTTGTGTAGCCGATGTAATTATTTATGAGTCTGGTTTGATGAGGAACACAGTTCCTTAAGGGGCATTTGAACTCATAGATAATGTTCGTTCTTTGTAATTTCGAATTAGTTGGTGTGTTGTTATTTTTGAGGATAAGGTTAGCTGTCTTAAATTTTTTATAATAGATAATTAATTTGATTTTTTTATTCGGATCAATTGGAGTAGTGTATTTCTTTATACTATGCCTTAGAGAAGATTCGTCTTGTTTGTAATTCATATGCATTTGGTTTTTGTAATAAATGAGTATGTGATTTTTGACTGTGTGTTCGCTATCGTTATTACTCACTTTGGAGAAGAATAGTCTAATTTGGTGGTCCATAAGGTGGTTAGGGAAACCGTTGTTGATTAGTGTCTGTTTAACGTTATTAAGTTCTTTGATGAAGAGTAGTCGAGAGGATGAGTTCTGGTGTGCTCTTTTTAGAAAGGTTTTATTACTGCTATTTTGTACCTAAGTGGACATTCGCGTTTAAAGTTAAGGTGGCACGACTTTTTGCTAGTGGGATTTTTATATAATGATGTAATGAAAGTGTTATTGCTGTACTTTACTAATTTACTTTTTCTTGTAGGTGTTTATCAGTCAATGTGGCATGAACTAAATAGTTCAATAAATAGAGTAATGTCTCAGTTGATATTCCGAAAATTTGCACTTCTCAAATTGTCATATAAAAAACGGACTCACATAAATTATCAGAAAAATTCAACCTTAGCGTTGCGACTGCACGCTCCACAATTTTGTATCCGTTATCAATAACAAATTAGGAAAAAAAAAAAGGAAAAAACATATTTCGATTCGCATTATATTTTTTGTCTCGGATGCTACCTGAATTTTACCAAAAACAAAATAATTTCCATGCCTGAAGATGACTAAACGCACAGTCGAAAGTACTTGAATACTTAAGAAAGACCTAATAGAGTTTATACTTTTAAAAAACAAAGATCGTAATATGCATTGAGTTATTGGTAGGTTCATGCATCTTAATTCGTTAGCGAAGGGATTTCGCCATTTTTATCATTAACTTTACTAATTTACTTTTTGTATGAATGATTCATTGTAATATAAACTGATCTGCACCATATTATATATATATATATATATATATATATATATATATATATATATATTTTATGCAGATGATTTATATATATATATATATATATATATATATATATATATATATATATATATATATATGATAGATAGATAGATAGATAGATAGACAGATAGATGACTGATTTCTGATTCCACAACTGAAATAAATTATTCAACTATTTGTTCACCGCCCCATTAAGATAAAATGAAATTATCATTTTTAGAAATGTTAAATCAAATATGCGGTGTAATTCAATTTATATTATAATGAATGATTCATACAAAAAGTAAATTAGTAAAGTACAGCAATAACACTTTCATGACATCATTATATAAAAACCCCACTAGGGACAGAAATAAAAGCGGCCGATGAGCACACATCTCCTAGCTGAGTTAACTTTAATGAAGAAACTAAAGATTCAAAAACAACCCTAAACTACAGAGAAAAACTCATCAAAAAATTAACATGAAAATATTTACACTATTTACATTATTCCTCAAGGACACATGGCACAGGAAATAAAGGTGTTAGATCCAGTGACAGGACCCAAAAAGTGTGAGTTCAATACCTGGTTAAGGCGGTGGAGAACTTAGAGAGGGGAATTAAAAGGAGATAACTGATGACATCCATTAGACATGGCACGTGGAACTAGAACAGTCTACCCCAGCGAGCGAAATAAAGGGTTCAGTTCGACATTCCAACCACCTGAAGAAGGCCGGAGCGTACAACGGCTGAAACGTTGTGATAAATATGGCAACAAAGATGAGCACAATAGTCCGAATAATGTAAATAATGGGCATAATACCTCATCTCAGAAATATAGACAGATAAAGAAAGTATTTATGGAAAATATATGAATGTCAATGTACGGAAGGGAAGAGTTGATAAAACGGTTGGCTATTTCGGGACAAGAACGCGGAGAATAAGAGGTACATGGTAATCGATCAAGTAGTAATCAACACTTAGTTTCAAGAACAACTTAAAAGTACAGGGTTAAATGAGTAAATTGTCCCCATTATATATTTTTTTTGTTTTAGCGCATGCGCATTGTTTATTTCTTATTTTGTTGACTGCACATTATAATAGGGTCAGTTGGGCACTGTCTATGAGAAAAAAGAGCAACATGACACAATTGACTCTCACTGAAATTTGGAAAACGGCATACTATACTGCTTGATATTGATATTAGGATTATGAAAGCGAAGTATTATAGCCAATAAGACAATCGCAAGACAGCATATTATCGTCGGGGTAATTACAAAACTGCGCAGACATGAAACACTCTAGAAGATCCAATAAATGATTATTCTCCTATGAATATGTAGATTTTTAACATTACTTATTGTTAATATATTAAGTGTTCTTGACAATTTCTGAGATGAGGTATTATGTACACTATTTACATTATTCGGACTATTGTGCTCATCTTTGTCGCCATATTTATTACAACGTTTCGGCCGTTGTACGCTCCGGTCTTCTTCAGGTGTTTGGAATGTCAAACTGAACACTTTATTTCGCTCACTGGCGTAGACTGTTCTAGTTCCACGTGCCATGTCTAATGGATGTCAGTTATCAGTTCTCCTGTTAATTCCCCTCTCTAAGTTCTCCACCGCCTTAACCAGGTATTGAACACACACTTTCTTGTCCTGTCACTGGATCTAACTAACGCTTTTATCTACTGTGCCGTGTGTCCTTAAGGATATCTGTGTATGAATTTAGGTGTATTATAAACCTAATGCCATCAGCAACCATTTTGTATTTTTTCCTGTGTTCATATTGAAATTTTTGCAAAGAGTGTGAGTTCAATACCTGGAGAACTTGCAGAGGGGAATTAACAGGAGATAACTGACATCCATTAAACATGGCACGTGGAACTAGAACAGTCTACCCCAGTAAGCGAAATAAAGAGTTCAGTTCGACATTCCAAACACCTGAAGAAGGCCGGAGCGTATAAAGTCCGAAACGTTGTAAGTTAAGAATGGTAATGTTCGTGGCAATATCAGCCGTTAAGTTTTGAAGAAATATTCGGTGGCTTACGGCCATATTACTCTGGAACACAGGTTCCTGCACGATCATCGAAGTTAAGCAACGTCAAGACCGGTCAGTACAGAAATGGGTGACAGCTGTAGAATACCAAGTGGTGAAAGCTTGAATGTGTGGATGCCATGTCTCATGTTGAAACACTGGTTCAAATCTGATCACCGAAATTAAGCAACGTCGAACCCGGTCAGTACTTAGATGGGTGACGGCTTGGGAATACCAGGTACTGAAACTTTGAATGTGTGGATGACATGTCTTACGATTCATGTACGATCACTGAAGCTAAGCAACGTCGAGCCTGTTCATTACCTAGACGGGTAACCGCTTGGGAATACCAGGTGCTGTAACCTTTTGTAATGGATAATGGGTCGGAATTGTTAGAGGGAAAACCAAGTTCAAATTCCGGTTGGTCTCGTTATATTCACTTACTCAGAAATACCCTTCAAAAAGTATGGATCCACATTTTCTCCCTCATCTATGGGTTAATTAGTAAGACTTGTATCACAAAAATATTTTTAACTAAAAAACATTCTTACAATATAAAAATATTTTCTTGTTTTCAATAAATTAAAATAAATTTAAAAATATTTTTTTAATTTCAAAAAACAGAACTATTTTTAAAAATTAAAAATAAAATAGTAATAATAATAATAAATACTTAAAAATTCTTACGATATAAAAATATTTCTGGTTTCAAAGAAATGGTTGATATGTCGTAGAAATCGAATCAAACAATGAAAAGAATCATTCGGCATTGATAGACCGAGCAGCAAGTGCTACTCCAGTTACCATTATCTTCAGCCCAGTCGACCTGGCTGGGGATCAAACTATAGAATCTGTTCTCATTTCCAATGCTAGTGGTACTTATAAGGAAACATTAAGCAATCATTGCCCGAACTGTCAGTGTTACTCCCGTTACGATTATCTTTAGTTCCTGGCCATTGGGTTGGGATGAAAGATCTTGTACAGTGAAGAAAGGATGAGTTCTTCAGAGCAAGATAATGTAGTTGAAGCCGAGACTATGGATGATAGCGGAAGCAGATGAGATAAGACCAAGATCTCCATTAAAAAGAACAGGACAAAAAGCTCAAGAGGGAGAGAAGGTTGTTGAATTTCGAGAACAACTAAAAGCATTAAACCTCTTCGGTTCATGGGAGTGTAGCGAAGTGGTAAATAGGATTGTATCTGTTTTCTTATGTTAAGTAGAAGTGATATAAAGTGCATAGTGAATTAAGAGAGAGGCGGTAGTTGACTACTGATTATGTGCCGTAGAACAACGCAATACAATAAAATTAAAATGAGGAGGAAGATGTCATGATGGAAGATTTTGACAGAGAAGAAAGGATGAGTTCTTCAGATCGGGACACTGCAATAGAAGACGAGCTTATGGGTTATAGTAGGAGTGATTCAGAACGGAAGAAGATGATATGAGACCAAGATCTCTTAAAAAGAACAGAACATAAATGTCACGGATAAGAGGAGGAAAGAGGTTGTAAAAAATCGAGAACAACCAAAGGTTGTTGGGTTCACGGAAATGCAGTGCATTGGTAAATACGATTGTACCTCCGGGAGAACAAACTACATTTTATCTTTCAATTATCTATATTTTCGAACAGAGCGCAAACCAGCTGTATCTTTGTATTCGGGTAGAACGCAACTGGAAATATTTTCAAGAAGCCAGTATGGGAGTATAGCTATTATTGCCTGGTCTGGAGGTGCTCGATCCTCTCTTTCCAGCTTTGTCAGGGTTCAAAAGCATCTAAGCGGTCTTGAGGGCGATTAATTATTCCCCATCCTAAACACCATGTTTTCAGAGATACCACATCGCAGGTATCTCGCTATTCTATCAGTATTTTCATGGTATATATTCCGGCGAGCTACCTCCCTTACTTTCACCCGTTCAAAACCGCTACGCCACGTCCTGGGTATGACGTTAGACTACATCCGGCAGCAAGGTCTCTGATCGGGAGATTGGGGGTTTTGACGAGTGTAGCACCACCTCTTGATTTCCGTTGTTCCCAGGTCCACCCTTACCCGGGATGGTAGCATTGGTTAGTATCCCAACAATTTGGCAAATACTGAAATCACAAACAAAATACTATGAAAGTATAAAAATACATTTTATAGTAAAAATACCAGTAATATATTTTTATATTAAAGTACTAACAATACATATTTATAGCAAAATAACCAGCAATATATTGTAGCTCTAGCTGAAAATATATAATTGCGTTTAGAATACATTTAGTTGAAGCCATAAAATTGTCTTCTGGTTGCATTAGATTTCGGCATTTCATAAGCCACAGAGTTGTTGATATGCCGCTAAAGAAAACCAATCAAAAAACCAAGCTACGTATAAAGGATTAAATCAAAACCATTACTCTGAAATACAAACTCCCGAGAGGATGCTTCTCTGACCACTAATATTTTAATCTATTCAAGTTTAGGATCAACCGTTATACATCCTACATATCCTCATAATATTCTCTTCCCATCTCCTCCGTTTGTATCAATAAAACTATTTATTCAGTAGTTCTCTACTTTCATTGGGCATTGTCTATTAGGTGAGCAATGGTGTAAAAAATCTATAAGGAGGATTTCCATAAAGGAGGAACCGTTTTGCCAGCTACCCCAGTCTACTTCACTCTAAAAGGATGGATTCTATTTGACTCTCTTCATTTTCCCCAGTTTTCAAATCTAGTAGCCGCCTTCACGATTAGCTTATATTTGAGACTTGTTGTTGTTCAGGTTAGTCAAGGAGGAATTGTTATCAAACGAGTGCTAGAGATCATTACTACGATTATGAATTTTTCTCTGTAGCTCAGATTTGAGCCTTGAGTCAAACTACATTAGTCAAGGAGGAGTCGATGGCAAACAAGTGATTTTAATCATTACATTATAAAATACAATGGAATGAGAAATTTCTTTTATTTTTTAAGTGAAATTTCTTGTGTCGATGCCGTGACTTAATTCTGTCTGCAGCTGCTTTTACAGTTCAAATCATGGCGAGAAAAATCCCAAGGAGAAAAGGGCGATTGCGTGAGTAATTTGTTAACATTATGAAACGTTCTATTTGTATTTAATATTTATTTGATTCAGTTTTCTGTCTGGGAAGAGAAAGATTTAAACGTTTGGCGTTTTTATTCAATAGATCAGACAGACGTCAAGCTTAGTAAAATAGTTACCATGTCAGTCTGGTAGACTCTGAGTGTATAAGATCTTCATGGATGACTAAATCTTTTGTAGATTTAATCAGACTAAAGAAAGTTACTATATATTAGTCTGGAAAGGAATTGTTTACATTTGAAGATGGAAAAGAAACAAGGATTTATTTTGTCTTCTTCCTCTTCTATTTTTTCTTCTGGGAAGGTCATTTGAGGTATGTAGGCCTTATCCAAATCAGTTCTCCTATCGATGCTTAGTCGCTCAAACCTATTGGAATTTGAACTCGGTTCTACGATCTCTCATTTTGGCTGTCCTTCATTACACCACCCGCACTTTACACATGCAAGCTTATAGCACATTGTATTTTCAATCGATCTCTCATCTAGGTACTAATCTGTTTCGAAGATGTTTAACTCCGGTGATCTGAGGAGAACTAGTGTTTCAAACTGATATGCAAGCAATCCGATTAATATATTTAATTAATATATTTCCCCTCTATACATAATCTCGTCAACTTAGCAAAGGTTAATCAAGGAAGAATGGTTGATAAGCTAGTGATAAAGATCCTTATTACTGTAGTAAGTTTCATTTTCTTTGCATAAATCAGATTTGTGCCTTGTACGAAACTGGATTAATCAAGGAAGAATTTTTGGCAAACGTGTACTACAGATCATTACTACTCTAGTGAGTTTCATTTTCTCAGCGCAGATCAGATGTGAGTCTTGTGCGAAACTGATTTAATCAAGGAAGAATTGTTGGCCAACATGTGCTACAGGTCATTACTACTGTAATGAGTTCGATTCTCGCTTGCTCGATCTTATATGAGATGGTTGAAAATGTAAGCTTCGTAATTAATCCTAAGTTTTATTTAGCATAAAATGGAAATGTTTTATTACAAATACAACTGAATGAGAATTTATATTTGTTTTTAAATTTGAAGTGAAATGTTTTGTGTCGTCGGCGTGATTTCATTTTATCTGGAGCCTCTTTTATAGTTCAAATCATGACGAGAAATGTCCCAAGGAGAAAAGAGCGAGTAATTTGCGTGAGTAATTTGTTAACATTGTGAAACGTTCTATTTTGATTTATTATAAGGATGGCCAAAAGTTGTTTTACCCATTTGCAATAATAATAAGTACAAATTTCTAAATAACATAACTTTTAATCATCGTACAATTATAATTTCAATATAACAGTTACATTTTCTATATTTTCGTTGGTATTCACGTGTTTTAGGCGCCATCTTCTTTTTTCCATTTATCTATTTTTAAATCATTTAGAAATTTGAGTTTATTATTATTGGAAAATGGTTAAAGTGACTTTTGGCCTTCCTTGTATATTGATCGTACACTTGACTTCGTTACAATAAATCTAGATGATTCCTCTCTTTAACTGTCTCAAGTAAATGTTGTGCAAACTTTATATAATACATTTTATGAAATTAGCTCTGTTTATTTCGGCTTCTCATCTGGGTGATGTAATATATAACAGCTTGGTATTGAAAATTGGAGAGCCGAGTTCTAATTCCAGTCAGAACTGTTATATTCACTTATGTGCAAATACCATTGAGAAAGGTATGAATCCATCTCTTCCCCTCCAGCTATGGGTTAACAGTAGGATTTGTATCAGTAAATCATTATTATCGCCAAAAGTTTTTACAATCCAAAAATATTTTCTGGCTTTAAATAACTTCATAAGTTGTAAAAAACTAATCAATCTTTTAATACTGTTTTTTATTATTCAAATCTAATGGCAATCACCTTCTTCCCAATTTGCAGCATATTAACATAGTAAAATTACCTGCCATGCATTGCTATAATTAAATTATTCCCAATACATATATACAGGGATGACTCAAAGTAGTTTCACCCATTTCCAATAATGATAAACACAAATTTTTAAATTGTATAACTTTTATTTAATCATCGTACAATTATGATTTTAATATAACAGTTATATTTTCTTTATTTTCGTCGCTATTCACCTGCTTCGGGCGCCATCTTTTTTTACCACCTATCTATTTATAAACCATTAAGAAATTTATATTATTGGAAATGTGTAAAGC